TATATATATATATATATATATATATATATATATGGTTTTATTTTTAAGCTGTGGAGTGGTGGCACACACTTTTAATCCCAGCATTCGGGAGACAGAGGCAGGTAGATCTCTGAGTTTGAGGCCAACCTGGTATACATAGTGAGTTCCAGAACAGCCAGGGCTACATGGAAAAACCCTGTCTTGAAAAAGAGAAAGAAAATTAGTTTAAATTAATTATGTGTGTGCTCATGTTTGTGCATGAGGATCCATTGAGGGTGTGGGTGCTTGTGGAGGTCAGAAGAGGAAATCAGATCCTCTAGAGCCAGAGATAGAGGTGGTTGTGAACTGTATGACATGGCTGCTGGGAACCAAACTCAGGTCCTCTGCAAGAGCAGCAAGCTCTCTTAAAGACTGAGCCATCTCTCCAGCCTTCATAGAGAGTATTTTAATTTTTTTCTATATAATCACACCCCACATACACACCTTTCACCATATCTAAGTCATCTGTCCCAAATGCTAGCTAAGTGCAACTGAGGTTTTATTTATTTCATTTTTATGTGTGTTTTGTTTGCATGTACATATGTGCACCATGTGTATTCCTGATGCCCACAGAGGTCAGAAGAGGGTGTTAGATGACATCACAGACTGTTATGAACCACCATGTGTGTTCTGGGAACTGAACCCAGGTCCTCTGCAGGAGCAACAAGTTTTCTTAGGAACTGAGCCATCTCTCCAGTCCCACAAGTGGAGTTTATTAAGAAAAGGTTCTGTGCCGGGTGGTGGTGACGCACGTCTTTAATCCCAGCACTCAGGAGACAGAGGCAGGTGGATCTCTGTGGGGATGAGGCCAGCCTGGTCTATAAAGTGAGTTTCAGGACAACCAGGACTACGCAGAGAAACTCTAGCTCGAAAACAAAAACAAACAAACAAACAGAGAAGGTTCTAAAATAGATTTAACCATAGGCATTAAAAAAAAGGGGGCAGGTACTGAAGAGTTGACTCCGTGACTAAGAGCCATTACTGCTTTTGCAAAGGTCGTCTTCTGCCCTTCTCCAGCTCCTGCATACACAAAGTAAACATAAATTCATAAGGCTCACATATATACACAGAAATCAAAAATTAGTGAGTAAGTCTTGGAAGAAAGAAGAGCTCAGGAAAAGGTCCATATACACCCAAGTATGGGTACAGATTTCTCAAGAAAGTTTCTGTGCAACTGACTTCACTATTCACTTTACTATAGACCAACGGCCCTCAACCTTCCTTACGTGACCCTTGAATACAGACCCTCAGGCTATGGCGTTCCCCCAACCATAAAATGTTGTTGCTACTTCATAAGTGTAATTTTGGCACTATGATTAATCATAATGTATATATGTTTTTTGGTGGTCTTGACTACAGCTGTGAAAAGATCATTGGACCCCCCACAGGGTCACGACCCACAGGCTGAGAACCACTGGTGTAGACCCTCTCAGTTGCTCCCTCCTTTGTTGTCATTTCTCCCATGGTTTCACTAACCTTTCATATCCAATTTATTACCAACCCCCAATTCCTCCACTTCTCTGTCTCCAGTCGCCAGTTCTAGTCCAATTGTTGCCAAAGGGCTCCGCCCCATCCGGCTTCCACCTGTCGTGCTTTTAGTTCCATCGTCTTGTATTACAAGTAACTTAACTTGCATTTTCACTTACGCTATCCATTTAGCTCCAGAAAATATTCTCCTTCATATCACCCACCTTTCCTGCTGTTTTTGTCTCCGACTTCACATATTCAGTTAATAGTACAGCTCTATCGTCTCTCTTAGGGTTATAAAGCTCTCTTTTTTCAGGATGTTCAGTCCCTTTCCAATCTCTGCACTTGTTCATGGTCTGATCTACAGCCATTACATGAATGAATGATTCATTACCTATTATTCTCCCAGCACCAAGGAGGAGATCCAGTCCTGCTACCCAGCTAAGTCCAGTCATGCAGGGACAGGAAGATGGCAACAGCATCCTCCCTTTTGCCAAGTGAGTCCTCCATGTTGGGTGGGAAGGATAAGGACGGGATGGAGGGAAGACTTGGATTCTTCTTAGAAAGGAGTGGAGTAAGAGATAACAGGAACCTCAGTGTCCATGTTTAGGAGATGGATGGTTCGTTAATTTATTCAATAAATGGTTTACTATTATTACTTTATTTTAAATTGTCCATGGAGGCCAGAAGAAGGCTTGGGATGCCCTAGAAACAGAGTTACAGGGAGTTTTGAACCTGCTGACATGGATGATGGAGAACGGACTCAGGTCTTCTGCCAGACCAGTATGTGTGCTTTTAACTACTGTGCCAACTCTCTAGCCCCAACAGTTTTGAACACTGTAATGTTCTAGGCACTATAGTAGGCATTGGGGATTCAACAATTAGAAAGGAAGGGTCCTCCTCTCAGAGAGCTCGTGGTAGAGCAGAATGTATAAACAAGCATCGTTACACCTAGTTATGAGAACTACACAAAAAGATGCAAAAGTATAAAGTGATGGCAGATCGTTAGAGGAGATGGAAGGCTAGCGTCACTGTAGAAAACTATTGTGTAGAAGGTAATTTGAAATGAGATTGGGCTTGTCTACAGAAAGGGGATGGTGGAGGCAAGAAGGAAATAAACTTGGAATGTTCCAGTAACAGATGAGACCAATGTAATTGAAACTTGTTGACTGAAGAAAACATGAAGAATAAAGTTAAGAGAGTTAGGAAAAGCCAGATTGTAGAAAACCTTGCAGTCCATAGACAAAACTCTGCGTTTTTATCCTGAAGATGGTGGGAGTAGAAAGTTTTCATCAAGGAAATGAAATAAGCACACTTTTTCCTTCAGCCTTTTTCTTTTTTTTTCTTTTCTTTTTTCCCTTTTCTTTTCTTTTCTTTTTTTTTTTGGCTTTTGAGACTGGGCTTCTTGGCTGTCCTAGCAGTAGCTCTGTAAACCAGGCCAGCCTTGAACTCACAGAGATCTGCCTATCTCTGCCTCCTAAATGCTGGGATTAAAGGTGCCACCACCGCCCAGCCCTCCTTTGACCTTTTTTATTATGGAAAATTTCAAATAAATATAGTAGAGAAAGAGTATTTTGAACTGATGTTCTCATTTCAGGGAGAGTCAATAATTTTCATTATATTGATATTCTTTTTACCTATCTATCCACCTCAATTTGGGGTGTGGGGGGTGAGACAGGGTTTCACTGTGTAGCCTTGGCTATCCAGAACTAGCTCTGTAGACCAGGCTGGCCTTGAACTCACAGAGATCCGCCTGCCTCTGCCTCCTGAGAACTGTGCCACCACTGCCCAGCTCCCCCTCAGTTTTTAAAAATAATTTATTTGTGTGTGTGTATGTGTGAGTTTATGCACACATATATGAGCAAGTGTGTGCACCATGTTGCACACATGGGTGCCAGAAGGTGTGGAGTATCCTCTATCATTTGTTACTTACTCTTCTCTAAATTTTTTAAAGATTTAATTAATCTTATTTTATGTGTATGAGTGTTTTGACAGTATGTATGTAAGTGTACCATGTGGGTTCTGGGAACCTAACCTGGGTCCTCTGCAAGAGCAACAAGTACTTTTAACCACTGAACTATCTCTCCAGCCAAACCATATCTTCCATTGAGGCAGTGTCTCCCTCTAAACCTGGAGTTCACATTTTCTCAGAGTGGCAGTCCTGTCTCTGACCCTTCAGAGGTAGGGTTACAGGTGAGAGGGACACTAGCTTGTTACACGGGTGCTCACGATTGAACAGGAAGCATTAACTCCAATCCACATCTCCAGCCCCTTTGTTTGTCTTAGAAGTGGGGTATTACACAGTTTAAGCCTCATATGTAGAAAAGGATGACTTTGAACTCCTGACCCTCCTGTCATCGTCTCCCAAGTGCTGAGATTATACACATGCACCAGAGAGTGTTGGATCTCCTAGAGGTGGAGCTTACGGGCAGTTGTGAGCTGTCTGATATTAGTGCCAGGAACTCAACCTCAGTTCTCTGAAAGAGCAGTAAATGCTCTTAACCACTAAGCCAATATGATACTTAAAAGATTATTTTTGCTGGACTCAGGAGGCAGAGATAGAGAAAAAAGATTATTTTCTCCTATTCTGTGTAGTAGCATTGGGGAGAGGGGAATAAGAAGTGAAGCAGGGACTGGAGAGATGGCTCAAGCAGTTAAGATCCAACATTTGTTGGATCTGGATTCAATTCCCAACATGCACATGGCAGCTAAAAACTGTGTATAACTCCAGGTCTAGAGGATCCAATGCCCTCTTCCTGTCTCTGTGGGCACTGCATGCAAACATCCATACACATAAAAATAAAAAAATATATCCTTAAAAATAAAAAGAACTGGGGCTTGTGGGATGTCTCAGTGATTAAGAGTGCTGACTGCTCTTCCAAAGACCCAGATTCAGTTCCCAACACCCACATGGCATCTGATACACTCTTTCAGGCTCTGTGGGCACTGCATGCACATGATACACAGACACACATACAGGCAAAACACACATACAATATGAAATAAAAATAAAAATTCATTTATTTATTTATTTTTTTTTGAGACAGGGTCTCTCTGTGTAGCCCTTGCTGTCCTGGAACTCACTCTGTACTCCAGGCTGACTTCAAACTCAAAGATCCACCTGCCTCTGCCTCCTGAGTTCTGGGATCAAAGGCATTCACCACCACTTCCTGGCTAAATTTTTAAAATTATAATATAATAATAATAATAGGGAGAGCAAAATACAGAGACCATTGCCATAGTCCAAGGAGAGAAAGATGACAGGTGATTGCAATATGAGAATGAAAATGGAAACAGTGGTCAAATCTGTGTATTGTTCAGATATACAGCTCACTGGATTGGCCAATGGATTAGATACAGGAAATGAGGGGAAATATAGCATAGCAAGTTTTTGGTCATAGCAGGTAGGCATATGGGGTATATCTTTTATCAGGTTGAAGGCTGAGAAGATGTTGGGTGGAGCCTAAGGAGGAACCGGGCTTGAACAGATTTTGGAGTATTAGCATGCTGGAGATATTTAAAGTTATGAAACTGAATGAAACCACCTAAAGACAGAAGTGAAGAATATAAAAGACTCCCTGATATTTCTGTTAAAGACTAGGAGGTTGTGGGGGAGGAGGGCTGTAAAAAAAAAAAAAAAAAAAAAGACTAGGAGGTTGGGCCAGGCATGATGGTGCACACCTTTAATCCCAGCACTCAGGAGGCAGAAGTAGACAGATTTCTATGAGTTCAGAGCCAGACTGGTCTATATAGCAAGTTCCAGAACAGCCAGAACTACATAGTGAGACCCTGTCTCTCAAAAACAAACAAACAAAAAAATCAGAAAATTAAGCATCATTCAATCTGGGGACAAGGAAGTAATATGCACTGTTCACACATAGCTCCTACACCCTACATACACGGCTATTGATCGTTCTTCGATACATAAGACACAGTAGGGTAAACGGAGTTTCTCTCTCTTGGATCTTCATTAACTTAAAAGAACCTTGTCTATCAAAATCACCTGAGTAACCAAAGCCTTCCTTTTTAAAATAATTTTATTTACTTATTTCTGTGTTTGCCCCTGTGAAAGGGCAATTTGAAACTCCAAAGGGGCTGCGACCCACAGGTTGAGAACACTGCTCTGAGACATGAGTCTACCTTGTTCTTGTCTCAGGAGTTCCAGGGTGGTCAGCCGATCTTCACCCTGCAGCCTGCCCTCCCAGAATAGCAGACCAATGCCTCAGCCTTACGGAGATACCTTCTGGGAGAATCTTAGCCGAAGGTCTAGGTGAGTAGAGCAGAAACCGGAAGCTGGAGGTGGGAAGGTGAGGCTATACTATTTTTAAGGATCATGCATCCTTACAGCAATAAGCCCATGTTTGGAGGGCATTTCCTACTTTGATGAAACTGTAGCTCCAACAGGAGGTTGGAGAGTTTGTGAGAGAAATGGTATTTATTGGGGTGTCCTTTCTGACTCCAGCTCCTATTTTTGTTCTTCTCAGCTCCAACTGGATGGAAGAACAGTACATTCCACCAGTGCTGGTATAACAAGCCCTGCTCCTCAACCTTCTGTTAGAGTGTGCTTGCTGCCTTCCTGTCCTTATTACCCTTTCTCTCTGGCATTTCCCAACCAGTATCTAAGCAGGCCCTGTTTACTGTAAATCAAGCATCCTGTTTTCCAGATCAGACCCAATTTCCAAAGACCCCAGATTTTCTAGTCCAGCCCAAATTTCCCGGAAACCCACATCTGTCCGCCCATTTAGCAATTGTTCTTCCTCCTTGGCACAGAGGGTCACTGGGTGCTCACAGCCTGGCCTGCACCCTCTTGAGGGGCTTCCTCCTCCTGCAAAGCTCTGGAGAAGAAAACAAAAGAAGCTGCATTCGGGAAGAATGCAGACAGGCCCTGGAAACATTCCGGCCCGTGTTAGAGCTGTTACCTATCATCTGGAGGACCTGAGGAGGCGACAGAGAATCATCAATGAGTAAGGAGGCATGATGTCTGGCCTCTGGGAGCCAGGCAGGGATTGGTAATTTGAACTAAAGAAAGTTGAGAGCTTTGAGAGAATTCATTGGTACTTGGGAAGGAACCATGCCCCTGGTGTGATTCAAACATAATTTCCTTATTTTTTGCATTTAAGTATGTATGTACATATGTACTGCATGTCACAGCATGTGTGTGGAGATCAGGAAACTGGTCCTCATCCTCCATCATCTGGGCCTGATTTAGCTCATCAGGTGGTGGCAAATACCTTTACCTACTAAGTCACCTTGCTGGTCCTTAAACATAATTTCTATAATGTGAAAGAAGCAATTGAGGGATAGAAGATAAGTGAAATGGGCCATGATGACTAGAGAGCACATCACTGAATGAGGGAAATCAGGGCTCGCTGACAGGCCCCTGAACTGAAAATTCTTGTCTGTGGAGAGCAAAAAGTCAAATGGTACCACCTATGAGTCTCAGCAGGAAGTACTTCAGACCAGAAGGGGGAAGAATGTAGAAGCTGGAAGCCTGACTCCAGGTCCCTCTCTCCTAAACCTAATGTCTCCACAGACTGAAGAAGGCCCAGTGGGGAAGCTCTGAGACTCCATCCGAGCTGCCCCCAGTACTTGAAGATGGCTGTGGATTCCTCAGCACTACTGAATACCTTGACATGGAAGAAGAGAGGAGAACCGATCCACAGGAAGAGAATTATTTTGTCACTCCCAGGGATCAGGTACGATTGGAGATGAATTTGGTAGGGGTAGGGTGGAGGGTAATATCAATTCATAATCTCGAATGGGGAGGCGGCAGAAGTCAAGCGCTGTTGGATAACTGAATTTAAAAACGAAAAGTAGTCATGAACCCGAGCTTGGGGAGCAGGGCGTGCCTGAATTTGGCCATTAAGAAATCTGGAGACCTGTTTTTCCATTCTTGCTCCCCTACCCCTTCAATTTTTCTCATCTACAGCTGCTTTGGTCTCCCTGGACCCCCTTAGGCCAGGGGGGCACTCATGCCTCTGGGCGGCTAAGCTCTCTGGCCCACAGCACTGTTACAGCCAGGAGGAACTCCACTTACAATCCTCAGAGGATGGAATTGGAGCCTGAGGAGTAGTGGAAAATCATCCATGCTCAAGCTTCCAGACCCAGGACCAATCCAAGCACCAGACTTTCCTCCTCACTGCTGGCGGCAAGATGGTTGTTCCCTCTCCTAACCTTAGCTGTTGTTCACAGCCTACTTGAGTTCCTATCCAACGGTCCTCACAGCCGGACCCTGGTCTTGTGTTCTTTCTGTTCTGTTATTAAAGAGCCTAGAGGCAGTGAGAGGGAAATTGGAAAGGAGGACTTCTTTGATTTTCTTGAGGACCCAGTTACAATGAAGTCAAGCAAGGTCCCCAAATTAGACGAGTCTCGCCCGAGACAAGAAGAGTTCTGCCCAGGTCCAGCCTTCAGGGCTCTGGCCCTGTACCTCTGCCCAAGCCCCATCCTCTTGCGCCCACAGTTACATCAGTTAGCTGAGCTTCCGCCTCCGGATCCCGGTCTCTCAGCGCTATTGCCCCTTTAGAGACGAGCCTGCAGCCTGTCGCGTAGACTGGCCCAGTGTGCTGACCCCAGGTTCCCTTCTCGACCCCGTTCCCTTAATTGGGAGGCCCCGCCCCGTGCGCACTGACGTCGAACGCCGCTGTCAGCCGGCGCTAGGGGGGGGTCGGTTTGGGGTAGAATGGCCGCTGCCGCCGTCACCCGCGGGACCCCGGGAGGTAAGAGCCAGGGCCTCTCGCCCGCCTCTCCACCCCCGCGCCAGGGGGCGCAGCTCCACGCGGTCCGGGTGTGGAGCACGGCGCCGGGGACCACCGTCCCTCCTCCCCGTTCGCCTCCACCTTGCTGCTTCCGTCCTCCTTCCCTGCGCCAGGGGGCGCCGCTAGGCGCAGGGCCCCATCACAGACCAGAGAGTGCGGGGACTGCCCCCCGACCCTCGCACCCGGCTACCGCACTGCCCCTTGCCCGCCAGGTGTTCGTGAACTCTGTTCAGCTGCTTCTCCAGAACATCCGGGTTTCCGGGAGGGACCCTCCCACCTCGAAGATTCTCCCAGGACCCCCGCCCCCTTTGGGGGGAGCACCCCACCCCCAGCGCCAGGCGTGTCATAGACCTGAACCACCCTCAGGCCCGCAATCTCATCCCTCCCTTGCTCTGCACCCTGGCAAGCTGCCTAGCCAGGGCTGCGCACCTGCACCCTATGGTGGACTCCTTATCCCAACCCTAGCCTCACTGCACACCACCAATCCTGAATGGGTTTCCACCCCCTCTCCATCCCTGGACACCTGGCAGAACCCGCGCAGAGAGCCTCCTCCAGCTCCCATCTGTTCCCCAAGAGGGCGGAGGCTCAGACTGGAGCCAGAGCAGTAGTAGATGGGATATGGTAGGCTGGAGGTTGGGGAGGTAGGAGTGCTGAGGTGAAGTGAAATGCTAGCTGCAAAGGGGAAGCCGGAATGTCCTACCCGGAAGCTTGGTCCAACATGTCTACTCCAAATTCTCTTAGCTCATGATCAACCTGAGAGAGAGAGTGAGAGCGAGAGCGAGAGCGAGAGCGAGAGAGAGAGCAGAGAGAGAGAGAGAGAGAGAGAGAGAGAGGTCAGTTATCAGATCTGCCCTTCCCCTTAGAAAAAAATCAAATAGAGAAGCAACTCAGGGTGTGTCTTCTAAGGCCCAGCTTGTCACCAGGCTTACATCTGCTTTCCTCCAGCGTCCATCCAGGTTGGCTTGCCATGCCGCCCTCCAAGGATTAGAGCCCCAGCTCCTACAGCTGGCCCACCCTTAGCCCCAGCCTTACTCTCCCTTCCCAGATGCACCCTGAGTTCTTCTGTTTGGCTTTTCCATGGGGAAAGATCTAATAACTGAACTCACCTACTCTCTCCTTCAGGTTGGTCAGGGCATGGGAGAATCTGGGTTAGACAAGCAGAACCCAGCCTGCTGCCCTGGGGAATGTTCAACACTGTCAGCCTCCCCCACTTATCCTTTTCTTCCTGATCGCTCTGTTCTGTCTTGTCTCCCCACTCATGTTGGTTCCTGGCACTTATGTCTGGGTTCTCTTTTATCCCTGTTCTCTGGTTCTGCTGTCACATTCTAATCCAACCTTTCCTTTATCCTTCCCAGATATCGGCAGTGAGTTCTATAGCCCCTTACCCTACCTCAGGCTCCTCATCTTGAATTAATGTGGGGGTCTCTTCCATGACCTTGTTCTCTCCTTTCCCAGCACAGACTCCCCCTCCCCCCGGCCCCTCAGGCCGGGGGTGACCTTGCCCCCTGGAACCCTCACCATGAATACCAAGGACACCACTGAGGTTGCTGGTGAGTTCACAAAACAGGTTCCCAGTTTGGGCACAATCGTCTATGTTCTGCTGTTCTTTGCTCCCCACCTCTCTAGTCCTGGTCCTCGTCTCCCGGTGCTCTTGGTTACACTGCACCTCTCTGCTCCAGATTGCCTCTAACAAAGCCCTCCCTTCTGGTTCCCTCTAGAGAACAGCCACCACCTGAAGATCTTCCTTCCCAAGAAACTGCTGGAGTGTCTTCCTAGATGCCCACTGCTGCCTCCAGAGCGGCTCCGATGGAATACAAATGAGGTTTTCCTAGGGAACATGGGGTTAGGGCTGGAGGGGCAAGGGGGACCTGCCTCTGTCTGTGGACACTCACTACCAAACACTAGTCTAGATTTTGGGATCACAGAATTACAAAGTCTTGGACCTTATAGGAGTCCATTTCTCTTTGGTATAGTTCATCCATATAAAAACAAAACTTAGTAGTTCTCCATATTGAGCACCAGGCTGTGATTCTGACCTGTACTATCTCATATATTGTAGATGGTAATGAAGAGGAAAGAGATTTGTTTTGTTTCTGTGTGTTAAACGTTGGGTTTTAGACAGGGTATCATGTAGTCCAGGCTAGCTTCAAACTTGCTATGTAGGCAAGACTGGTTTGAACTCATTCTTTTTCCTATTCTCTCTCTGTCTCTGTCTCTCTCTGTCTGTCTGTCTGTGTGTGTCTGTCTGTCTGTCTCTCTCTCTCTCTCTCTCTCTCTGTCTCTCTCAGTCTCCTCTCCCCCCTCAATAGCATCCCATGTAGCCCAGATTGACTTCACACTGTGTAGCTAAGGATGATCTTAAATATCCAATGCTCCTGCCTCTACCTCCCAAGTGCTAGGATTCTAAAGGTGTGCCACCAAACCCAGTTAATGTGGTTCTGGGGGAATTAACCCAAGACCTTGTGCATACTAGATAAGCCCTCTACCAACTGAGTCCCAGCCCTGGCTTTGAACTCTTGATTCTCCTGCTTCCATGTCCTTAGTACTAGGATTTCAGGTATGTGCTACTCTGCCTAGCCTTATTTTTTTCTTCCTTAAACAGGGTCTCACCATTTAGCCCAGGCTAACCTTCTCCACTTGTTGGCCTGTGTGGTAGTGGTGGGGTATGGATGTGTATATGTACATATGTGCAGGCGTATGTGGTGACATGTATTTGTGGAGGCTAGAGGTCTGTGTAAACGTCTTCCTTAGTCACTCTCCATGCTCTACCTAATTTTTTGACACAGAGTCTTTCTTTTTCTTTTTGTTTTTGTTTTTGAGACAGGGTCTCTCTGTGTACTGTGTGTAGCACTGTCTGTCCTGGAACTCACTCTGTAGACCAGACTGGCCTCGAACTCACAGAGATCCCCCTGCCTCTGCCTTCCAAGTGCTGGGATTAAAGGTGTGTACCACCACTGGCCTTTCAGTGAGACTGAAGCTCACTGATTGGCTGGACTAGCTGGCCAGCCAGCCCCAGAACCATCTTATCTCTCTTTCCCTGGCATTAGGACTACAGGCATCAGGCATGCACAGCTGTGCCCAGCTTCTTAGGTGGGTGCTGGGGATCTGAATTTATGTCCATACTTGAACAGCAAGCACCTTACTGACTGAATCATTTCTCCAGCCTAAAGTTGGAGAGACAGGGACTCAGTGGCCTAAGCTCCTGATCTTCCTGCCTCAGCCTTCTGAGTGCTGGATACTGGGATTACAGGTGAATACCCACATACCTGTCTCAGAGCCCCTGCTTTTTACTACCTTCTGGAGGGCACAGTTCCTGGGGTGTCGCTTTCTGTGTTCTATATACGTATTTATTTCCTCGTACATAGTTAGTGGTTGACGATTACTGATTCAGTATTAGAATTGTAGTCTGGCGATGGTGGCGCACACCTTTAATCCCAGCACTCGGGAGGCAGAGGCAGGTGAATCTCTGTGAGTATGAGGCCAGTCTGGTCTACAGAGCTAGTTTCAGGACAGGTTCCAAAGCTACAGAGAAACCCTGTCTCAAAAAAACCAAAAAAAAAAAAAATTGTCTGTAAAGCCAGAGCCGGAGCTCACACCCACAGTCCTAGCACTCAGGAGGCAGGCAGAAGGATTACAACACACTTGGGACCAGCCTGGTCTATATATCAAGTACAAGGCAGGCCAAGGTTATGTAGTGAGACTGTGTACTGTCAATAAAAATGGGTGTGTTTGCATATGGTTATTGTAGGTGCTACAGAGCCTTCAGGAAGTTCAGAGAAGCAGCAGGTCTTCACAGAACACCCGGGAAGCACGTATGATACTTGTAATTTGCAGACACAGGCATCATATGATACTTTAGGCTTATAGGGCAGTAGCGTGAAGAATGTGATTGTTGGAGGTGTGTTCAAGAAGGAACCAATGAGCCCATCTGGCAGGACTAGTGGGTTGAATTTGAGTAAATAGTAGGAATAATAGTTTGATACTTTTTCTGAAAGCCTTGGAGTCAGACAGAGAACCTGGGGTCCTTGTCAGTGTCAAGCCGTTGACATTTCGCAGAAAGGGTCACAGAGAAAGTGCCTAACATAAATAAAGGGTAATCTTGAAGCTGGCTCCACAGTGTAGGCTCCAGAATGGAGAGAGAGATAAGAGGTTAGGTTGTTTTTTTGTTTTTTTTCCTCCTGGTACTTGAACCCAGAGCCTTGCACATGCTAAGCAATCACTGTCTTTTTCTGTTACGGAACTATATCCCCAACCTGAAGTTAGGGTAGAACCTGCTGTTCTTAAGAGAACTGTGAGACCTTGCTGGGTCCAAATACCTGCCATACCTCTGCAGAGCCCTGAGCCATTGGCCAAGGGGGTGACTCAAGTGTTTCCTCTCCTACAGGAGATCGCATCCTACCTGATCACCTTTGAGAAACATGATGAGTGGCTGTCCTGTGCCCCAAAGACAAGGTGAGAAGATTTTCCAGTTTGAAAAATAACAGGAATCCTGGGCTGTATTCACAAAACTTAAGCCTCCCCGCCTTCCTTCCAGGCCTCAGAATGGCTCCATTATCCTCTACAATCGTAAGAAGGTGAAATACCGGAAGGATGGTTACCTTTGGAAGAAGCGGAAGGACGGGAAGACCACCCGAGAGGACCACATGAAACTCAAGGTCCAGGGCATGGAGGTAAGAGCATCAGACATCCACACATCTGCCCTTGCCCACACTCCAGCCTGGCAGGCAGGGTTTGGGGACATTGTCAGCCTCTCCTGCTCAGTCAGTCTTCTCAGTCACTCTGGATCAGCGGACTGAAGGCTGAGCTCTCTCTCGGCTTCCCATTTGCCCGCCACAGGCCAGCCTATGGCACCAGTGTACATACCCCTCACATCCCTTGCTTGCATTTCCCTCGGGGATCTCAGTAATTATGCTCTAAACACGGTTTCTCTTCCCAAATCATTGTTCTTCTACACTTTCTCTCTGCCCTTAGATTTCTTTACCATATCTCAAATTGGGCCTTTTTTTTTTTTTTTTGTAAGATCCCCAGCTCCTCTATTCTCTTCTCTCTGTCCCTTAATCATGACTTAAGGCCTGCCAGAATTTGGAAGGGGTAGGAAGAAGGTGAGGGTAGGGAGAGGGCTGAAGAGGAGCTGGTGGAAAGATTGGGATTCCTGCAAAGGGACTGAACAGAGGAAGAGTTGGGGAGCAGACTAGCCCTCCCCCCACCCCAGCCTGTCTCCTGGCAGTGTCTCTATGGCTGCTACGTTCACTCTTCCATCGTCCCCACATTCCATCGGCGCTGCTACTGGCTGCTCCAGGTAAGAAACAACCCAGAACTCAGGGAGCCAGATTTCTGGCTCTTTGAGGAACATGGGGTCTGAAAAGACGAAATGGAATAAGTTCTGAGTGGGAAAAGAAGAAGCTAGAACATGATGGAAATTGGGGGTGACTAGAATTGGGGATAATGCTTAGAAGAAAGTGAGGGCTAGGAAGCCAAGGCCCTGAATCCTAGGCCCATGGCATGTGCCTTTGTGCTCTCAGAACCCTGACATCGTCCTCGTGCACTACCTGAACGTCCCGGCCCTAGAGGACTGTGGAAAGGGCTGTAGCCCCATCTTTTGTTCCATCAGTAGCGACCGGCGGGAGTGGCTGAAGTGGTCACGCGAGGAGCTATTGGGACAGCTAAAGCCCATGTGTAAGGAACAAGCATGGATCGAGCTCTAAGGGAGGGGAGAGTGGAGCTTCCCAAAACCACTAGATGTGGAATATGGAGGGGGGCGAAAGACAGCTGTGAGCTGTATGTCTAAGCAGCTTTAAGTTTAGCATGCCAGGGCTTTGGGGAGCCATCAAGGTCCTTTGGAAGTCTCACAGTGTCCCCCCAAATCTCCTGTAGTTCATGGCATCAAGTGGAGCTGTGGGAATGGGTCAGAGGAATTCTCTGTGGAACAGCTGGTGCAACAGATCTTGGACACCCACCCAACCAAGCCAGCACCCCGAACCCATGCCTGTCTCTGTAGTGGGGGCCTTGGTAAGTGAAGCCTGACTCTGGAACTATTTTCCCATTTAGCCACATTGCTTAATAACTGACTTGATGGAATTTGCATACTAATTTGCAAGTCTTTGCATGTTCAGGAAGATGGGCCAGATGAGCAAAGAACTTCCTGTCTGGCAGCACTGGCCCCAGAATGTATTCTCTTCAGTCCTGGCAGTCCATGG